TATTTTTTAACATTTATTGATATAATTGTGAGAAACATTTAAGATATAAAATTTTATAAGGTTCATTTTATTCTATTATTTGGTTTTGGTAGTAAGGATTTTTGAGAAGAATTTAAATTTATAAACGGGTTTATGTTTTTTTTATTTTTACAGGTAATATTCCAGATTTTAGGGCCTTTTATGTGCATTAAATTTTTTCATAGTGTGAATGGACACGAGGAACATCAAAGATGATCTGTGCCTTGTGTTATGGTCATGTTTCTTTTAAAGGTTGGCAAGGAGATTTAGGGGGGGGTTAATATCAGATTAATTTTCTATGATAATAGTGCAGTAATAATTTTGGATGTTTTTGTATGGTGATAGGTTTTTGTTTTAAAATATTGGTGGAGTGTGCGCCTAATGAGAATTTGTTATCATTTAACCACCCTTTTTGTTGGGAAATTAGTGCGAGAGGGTTTATTGTTTTTGGGGACCCCATGCACAAATTCCATAGGGAAAGGGGGTAAATAAAGAGGATAAGGGCCGGAGGGCTGACTGGGAGCATAGTACCGAATCCGATAGTATGCCACAGTCCTTGGAAATTTTTTCTTAGAAATTTGTTGATATGTGAGAAATTTTTTAAATTACCCAGGTGGTTTCCTAAGAATTTTCCCTCGTTACTTTGTGATATTTATCCTTTATCATTATTTTTAAGGGGACATCTGTACTCGTTCCCAAACTGAATAAAAGTAGGTTTTGTCAATTTTTGGAAAGTTTGTTAGCCTCATCCAGGTAGAATTTTCTGTAATTCGTTTTTACGTATTGGCTAGCGGCTGGCCCGGGGGGGAGAAGACTATGTATGTTTCTGCAAAAGTGGGGGTTTGAGTAATTGCAGCATTTGGTAGGTTTTTTATTTATAGGAAAAGAGAAGAGGGCCAAAGGGCCCACTTCCCTTGGGACACCAACTGTAATTGGTTGTGCAAAGATTTTTGCCCCATTTCATACACATATTGGTTTCTTTTGATTCAAATAGCAAGGAATAAGCCAGAAAAGCAACACAAGAAGCGAAGCAGCCAGTTTAGCATAAAAATTAAAGATTTTGAATTGGCCTTTACTCTTTTCCTTTGGGACTGTAACGGAAGGGTTAAATCCACGAAAAGACCTTCAAAAAAATTAAAATTTTGAAATGGCTACTTGTCCAACCTCTATGCGGCTTAGGGGAATTTGTAAGCCACTTCGAATGATGAAGTTTTTGAAATGTTTAAAAGAGAAAGCTAACTGCTGGTGAAAACTACAGTTACCGGGGCTGATCACAGGGGTAAAGGGAAGAGGAAACGCAATTTTGAAGAGCCAACAATGAAATTGTTTCTACCAAGGCAGAAATGTAAGACAGCTACATATTTCATCACTGGATTCACTGATTACAAATTTGGTGAAAAGAAAAGAAATCTACCAAAAATCTCAAGAAATTTGGATTTCTTTTAAAAAAATTAACTATCCAGATGCAGAATTGAGAGAAGTTCATTAAATTTGCAACAACACCTTTCAGCAATTTTCAGGACACATTTGTTGAAGAAAGGGTTTAAATTTTTCTGGTATATAAATCAATAAAGCTCCACCGAAAAATGTTGCCCTCGCTGCTTTGAAACATTTAAGAAATGCAGGACCAAAACCTTTCCCCCTAATTTGACTATTATCCCCTTTCCCTAACACTTCCACACTAACTGTGGGGGGAAAAACTTAATTTTCTTTTTTTAAAAGTGAAAAACCAGCTCCGTTCAACAATGAGCCAAAAAATTTTTTAACCTACCCTTGTTGACCATTGAGTCAGATCTAACAAAAATTTTTTTTTCAAATAAATTGATGATTTTGCCAATATGAAACCCAAAAAAAAAAAGTTATTTAAGAAGTGCCTGTGAAAAAAAACATTCTTTATTTTCTTGAGTTTATAATTTTGAATCTTATGCTGATGCAATGATAACAATAAGGTCAGTTTTTTTTATGAAGGAAAAATATGGTAGTGGTTACTGAAAATAATAGGTACATATGCACTACTTTAATACTAACTAGTAAAACTATCGTCTTGAGTTTATTCTCTTTAAAATCATGATTTAAAAAGATATTTAAAGGGGTTTTTTTTGGTAAATGTTTTGGGTTGTCTGATGTATTTCCCCTTTAAATTTTAATCAAATACCAAAGTTTTTAAATTTAGACCAAAACGGGGCCACACCTACCCCCCCCTCACCCCCAACGGAAGGGGTCGCTTGTTTACCCAACTCAAAGGGGCCCCCCAATCTGAATAGCCTGGGCTTTTTCAGATACCCAGGCAAAAGGGTTAATCCGCCCTCCCAATGCTTTCCTATTTCCCCGATCGAACCGGGGATACTCATTAAAAGGGACAGAGCGTTCCCCTAGTAGGCCACGGGTAACCCTAAGAGAAATTTTTACCTTTTACTCTGCCACGCAACACAGAGGCGGCACGGGGGCGGCGGCGGCGGCGGCGGGGGGCGGCGGGCGGCGGCGGCGGCGGCGGCGGCAGCGCGGCAGCGGCGGCAGCGGCGGCACGGCGGCAGAAAAGCACCCAGCAGCAGCAGCAGCAGCAATAAAGTGGTAGTAGTAGTAGTAATAAGTATTAGTAGTAGTAATATGGTTGTGGTAGTAAGTTTTTAGACCGGGTACACTAAAAAAATTTAATCATACTAATAATTTACCTAGGATAACCTAAAAAAAGTCAAACAAAGTGACTTTTTTTCCTTTGGGTTCTTGTAATACTTTTTAAAATTTACATTTTAAAAATTAAAACAGCTAAGTAACTCAATTTTGTGAAAATCAGTTCAAGTAAATGAGAACAATGGGAATAAATGAACGATTATTAGAAAGTTTTTTTCAGTTAAAATAAACATAAAAAAGTACATAAATTATCAATACAGCAGCATATAGCTTACAATAATGGGTACATAATGTTAACTATACAAACCCTTTCCCCCTCTATTTTCTGTATATAAAGTGTAGAAATAATAGAAATAATAGTAATAGTACAGAAGTAAAGAGTAGTAGAAAAAAGTAATATCATATTCATCCAATGAAATGCAGAAAGAATGCAAATGGAAACAAGACTAAGAGTAATTTTATTTTGAAGGGGAAGACTCTTTAAAGTTTTTTTTTTTTACCATTTGTTTTTTAGCGGTTAGTGAAAAAGGTTAATAGGTCGCTAGAGGGGCAGCTGGGAGAAAATATATCCACTGCGCCCGTTGTGAGCGGGGGGCTTTAGTGCAGCCAACATTATCAAAAACCCCATCGAATGTTGGTGGATTTTTTTGTTCTGTTTTGGATTTGGTGGGTGAATTTTTTTTGGCTTACGAGGTGGGAAAACGGGATTTGTGTCAGTAGTGGTTGGTGTTAATTAGGAAGATTAAGTCTGAGTGCAGGGTTTGGACCTCCAATGAGGGAGAATCAAAACAATCTATCAGACGAAATCAAAAGGCTTGAAAAGAAATTTCTATTTTAACCAAGGAAATATGTCACTGTGGCTGGGTAGAGGCAGGTGTATGGGTTGTACTTATTTTTAGGATTGTTAGAGACGGGAAGGCACTAAAATCGGTCGTGGGGAAGCAACACAAAAAGCAAGGCTAAAGCTCCCTTTGCAACCTGACACGGGTAGTTAATTAGTAGGGGGAATATACACGTCTGCACAGGTTATTGTTGGGCAATTTGGTTCATTCGGGAGCTTGTTTGTTAAGCTTAGAAAACGTTTTAAAAGTTTTGCTAAGGAATTTATTTTTTTTCCTATAGGGGTGCAACACAAACCTCAATACTTTTTTTTGTGTAAAGAAATTTGTAACATTACAAAGAATATTTAATGAAAATTAGCGAGTGTTACTGTAATGGGAGCCCCAGGATTATATTCACACAAGTTTCTTTTCTTGCAATTTAAGGGGGAAAGTTTATTAGGTTTGGGACATAAAAGAGAAATTTCATATATATTTTTAACAATTGTAAATTACCAGGAAAACCCAAAAAAGGTCGGATTTTTGAACCCAGGTCACCCATCAAGGCCCCCCAATGGAAAAAAGCAATTTTTGACTTTTCGGGTTTACCTAGTAATTTACACAGTTACTTAATATAATAATTTTTTAAAAACTGTATTTAAGTATTTATGTGCCGGGACCTAATAAATTTACTAACTAAAGAAATTTTTGTGCCACATCGAGGGCTGTCTTATTTCGAATGGCCTTTAATTTGTCCCCCAGATGCACCCACACCAGTTGACAAACACCCAGTTACCTACTTACTGCAAGTGAACAGGGAAGCAGTGAAAGGAAAAACCATCCCCAAGTTTCCCCCCAGTCGGGGGATTGAACCACAGACACTCATGTATGAGGGACTGCGTTGGCAACCAAGCCACAAACCTTGCTTTATCTTTTAAAGGATCTTAATGATTTCCTCTGAGGCCGGTTGGACAGGTTTTTCCCCTAAAAAGGGTGAGGAATTTAATACAAGGTTTGTAAATTTTTTTGGTCATTGTATATGCCAGAACAGACGGGAAAAAGACCATCCTGCCACGTCCCAAACATTTAACAGGATTAAGTTTCACCATTTTTTCAAGAGGACATTATACCTTCCCTGTGTGGCGCTGTCTTCTAACCACATCACACCAAAAAAATGTAGCTAAAAGAACAAAACATCAGTTTCATTATTTTTTCAGATGTGGGTCGGGTTTGAAATTATTTTACATATAAAACCCAAACAATTTTTTAAAAACCTATTAGGGTAATTAAGGCAGAAAATATAAAAAAATTATCAATTTTTTTATAAAAATTCGAATTCCATCCCCACTTTCTTTAAAAGTTTTGATAAAAATTTTCACTTTTTAAAACTTTTTATTCCCAGTATATTTTTTGAAAATTTTATTGCAATTTATAAAGGGTTATTTGAGGTTTTCTCATATAAACTTTGTCCAGCATTATATAAAAAGAAAATAACCATCCTTTGGATATTTTTTGCGTTATTCCTAAAAGCGCATGGAGAAAAAGGTACATAGGGATACTATTTCCACACCATATCAGAAACCTTATATGGAATGTGAAATGCAAAAAATTATTTGGGCAATTTGCCTCATCCTCACTGTTAACATTTATATTATTTTGGAAGACAGAAAATTGTTGGTTTTATAAAATGGGGAAATACTCTCCAAAAGGGAAAAATAATTGGGGCAAAATTTTTTCAAAAATGTTATGAACTTTCACAAGACAAAACAGAGAAAAATAAAAAAAAGTAAAGAGGCTGAGTTAAGCAAAATTTTAATATATATGAAAAATTTTGACATCCAATTTTTTATTTTTCTTTGCACGAAAGTAACCCCTTACCAACCAACCTTTTAAAATTTATCAAAACGGTTTACCAAACTTATTTTAAAAGAATTTTGCATACTGATTTAACATTTTTTATTTATAGAGTGTAAATTCACGATCTTTTTACTTTTCCCAAATAACAATAATTTTTTGGTAAATTTATACATCAGGTAGTCATTCGGGGTAATGACTTTATAAATTTTCCCTTTTTGAGCTTAGGTCCAGAGTTATGCTTATGTCCTGTTTTTCATTATGAAATCACTTATGCATTACAAAAGTTACTTAAAAATTTTTTAAACAGCCTAGCACTTTATGTCTTGAAAATTCAGTTCATTGTTTCACTTTTGTTTGGGTGTTGTTTTTGTCTAACCTAAATGAATGGGTGATTGGGGGGAAGGGCCCTTTTCCCTTAGCTAAAGAGACAAATTAAATATAGAAAATCTTTTAATTTTTTCATTAAAGTTTTTTATTTGCTTAACTACTAAAAAATAAAAAAAATTTTTGGCAAATTTAACACAAGAGGGGGCACCATCTTGTAGGGCCAGTAGGCCTTCCCTGCAGTGTTCCTCCATTATTATGTTCTTAAAGCTAACCGTTTTTTTAACTATCAGTTTTTACAAATGGGAATGTAAAAAAAAATGGGAAATTAAATGTATAAAAAGTGACTATTCATATTTATATTTTATACATGACATTTTAAACAATACAACGGGGAAATATATAAGCCGGGGAACAAAATGCCAATCCAAGGGGTAACATGCATTTTGGGACGTGGAGGTGGTGGCCCACATCCAAGGGCAATGAAAAGATTTTACATAGCTGGTCATCAGTGCATTGTCCAAAAAAAACAGTTTGATTGTGCCTGAAACTTTTTTGTAAATTAAATTTTTAAATTACCATAAGAGAAAAAAAAATTGTATGAAAAATCCGAAATAATTTTTTTAACCATTAATTCAGTTAGTATAGACGCTGTTGTGGTATTTTGTACTTCATAGGGCTGATTAGATTTGCATGTAACCAAAAAAAAAATTTGTTTTTGAAAATTTAATATATCACTGGTAGTCGATATCTAAAATCGTGTTCAAAATTTTTAACTCTGCAAAAAAATGAATGTCAAAATTATCTATTCTGTGAGAAACATTTTTGAAAGTTCAGTTAGCTCTGCTGAACTCAGGTAGGGGAATAAAAATTTTCTTTTTTAAAAAAAAAGCAAACAACGGGAACGTTATCCAAATCTTAATAACTTCCAAGAGAGCTGTTTTTTGAAAAGACAAGATTCTTTTTTGGAGCAAAGAGCAACTTTAACGTGAGTATGAAGCTTATTGTAATTTCAAAATTGGGACCCTCATAAAACTAACACAAAAAGAGGTGATCGGGGTCCTACTTTCGGAAGCTATCAGAAGTAATGTAAAACTGTATAAAAAAAAAAAAAAAAATAAAAAATTTGGGGTCTAAAATAAATTTCATAAAGGCACCCACGAAGGGGGTTTAAAATACCATAATGCGATTTTAAAGAAATACCCCAAATGTCTACCCCAAACACGTACTTTATACCAATAAAATTTTAATGCTGAAATTGCAGGGTCCTTGCGGGAAAAAACGACAACGCATAGGTGAATGAGCAGTCAAGATACTTGACCTACATAGCCTAAATTTTTGGGATCTTGTTTGACACTTAAAATATGATTATTTTGGGGCTCCCAAGTACCATCATTGTTGACACAGGAAAAGTTTTGCCTACTTTTAAGTTTTAGCCTTTTACTTGATTTCTGAAAAAATCGGGGGTCCATCTTTGAACTCTTAGCATCCACCTTATAACCTATTAATTAAGAGGGGAAACCTTTTTTCATTTTAATTTTTTAAACTTTTTCAACAAAAAGGGAATTTATGTGTATTTTAAATGGCTGAACTAAAAATCATATGTTTTTTAGTAAAATATTTTTCTTGAACTTTTTTATAACAGACGACTCAGAACTATTGTGCGGCCGTTTTTAAAAAGGACTTGAATCATACCGAGGGCTCCCCCCCAGATGGCCAGTATTTTGAGTGATCTTTTAGATTATGTTTACCTTATCTCTTCACTACAACACTTTACCTTATTTTGGGAACACCTTTTCCCCTCTCTCTCTTCCACTTCTCCCTCTCCTCCCTCCTCCCCTTTTTTTTTCCCTCTCTCTCTCTTTCCTCTCTTTTTCTCCTCTCTCTCCCCTTTCCTCTTTCCTCCTCTCTCTCTCCCTCTTTCCTTCCTCTCTCTCCCTCTCTCTTTTTCTCTCCTCTCTCTTTCTCTTCTCTCCTTTCTCTCCCCTCTCTTTCTCTCCTCTTTTTCCCCTCCTCTCCTTTTCCCTCTCTCTTTCCTCCCCCCTCTTTCTCTCCTCTCCTTTTTTTCCTCTTCCCTCTCCCCTTCTTTCTCCCTTCTCTTTCTCTCCCTCTCTTTCTCTCCTCTCTCTTTCTCTCCCCTTTTTCTTTCTTTTTCTCCCCTCTTTTTCTCCTCCCTTTTCTCTCCCCTCTCTTTTCTCTCCTCCCCTTTCCCCTTCTCCTCCTCTTTTCCTCCTCTCCCTCCTCCTCTCTCTCCTCCTCTCCTCCTCTCTCTCTTCCCCCTTCCTCTCTCTCTCTCCCTCCTTCTCTCTCCCTCCTCTCTCTCCTCCTCTCCTCTCTCTCTCCCCTTTCCCCCTCCTCTCCCCCTCTCCCCCCAATTTCCCCTTCTCTCTCTCTCCTCTCTCCTCTTTCCCCTCTCTCTCCTCCCCCTCTCTTCCCCCTCTCTCCCCCTCTCCCCTCTCTCTCCTCCCCCTCTCCCCCCTCTCTCTCCTCTCCTCTCTCTCTCTCTCCCCTCTCTCCCCCTCCTCCCATCCTCTCCTCTCCTCTCTCCCTCCTTCTCCTCTCTCCTCTCCTCCTTCCCCCTCCCTCCCTCCTCTCTCTCCCCTCTCTCCCTCCCCCTTCTCCTCCCCCTCTCTCCTCCTCCTCCCCTCTTCTCCTCTCTCCCCTCCTCTCTCCTCTCCTCTCTCTCTCCTTTCCTCTCCTCTCTCTCTCTCCTCCTTTTCTTCCCCCCTCCCCTCTCTCCTCCTTCTCCCTCTTCCCTCCCCCCTCTCCTCCTCTCTCCCCTCTTCTCTCCTCTCTCCCCCTCTTCCTCTCTCTCCTCTCCCTCTCTCCCCCCTCTCTCTCCTTCCCTCTCTCTTCCCCTCCCTCCTCTCCCTCCTCCTCTCCTCTCTCTCTCTCTCCCTCTCTCTCTCATCCCTCTCTCTCCCTCTCCTCTCTCTCCTCTCTCTCTCCCCCTCCCTCCTCTCCTCCCTCTCTCCTCTCTCTCTCTCCCTCTCTCCCCTCTTTTTCCTCCTCTCCACCTTCCTCTCCCTCTCCCCCTCTCTCTCTCCTCTCCTCTCTCTCTCTCCCCTCTCTTCCTCTCTCTCTCCTCCTCCCTCCCCCCTTTTTCCCCTCCTCTCTCCCCCTCTCTCCCTCCCCTCTCTCCCCCCTCTCCCCTTTTCCTCCTCTCTCCCTCCCCCCTCTCCCCTCTTCCTCCTCCCTTCTCTCCCCTCTCCCCTCTTTCTCTCCTCTCTCTCTCCTCTTCCCCCCCCTCTCTCTCTCCTCCTCCTCTCTCTCTCCCCTTCTCTCCTCCCTCTCCCCTCCCTTCTCCCCCTCCCCTCTCTTTTCTCTCTCTCTCCCTCCTCCCTCTCTCCCTCTCTCTTCTCTCCTCTTCTTCTCTCCTCCCCCTCTTCTCCCCTCCTCTCCTCTCTCCTCCCCCCCCGTCTCTCTCTCTCCCCTCCTCCCCTCTCTTTTTCCCCTCCCCTCCCTCTTCCTCCCCCCTCCATCTCCTCTTCTCTCTCTTCCTCCCTCTCTTCTTTTTCTCCTCTCTTCTCTCCCCTTCTCTCTCTCTCTCTCCCCTCCCCCTCTCTTCCTCTCCCCCCTCTCCTCTCTCTTCCTCTCTCTCCTCCCTCTCTTTTCCTCTCTTCCCCCCTTTACCTCTTCCTCTCCTTTCCCCCCCTCCCCTCCCCCCTCTCTCCTCCTTTCTCTCTCCCCTTCCCCCTCTCTCCCCCTCCACCTCTCTCTCCCTCTCCTCCCTCCCCTTCCCCCTCTCTCTCCCTCTCCCTCTCTTCCCCCTCTCTCCCTCTCTCCCCCTTCCCCTCTCTCTCCCCTCCCCTCCTCTCCTCTCCTCCTCTCTCTCTCCCCTTCTCTCCCTCTCTCTTCCTCTCTCCCCCTCTCTTCCTCCTCTCCTCTCTCTCTCCCCTCCCCTCCTCTCCCTCTTCCTCCTCCCTCTCCCTCTCCTCTCTCTCTCCTTTCCTCCCCTCTCTCTCTCCCCCCCTCTCTCTCTCTCTCCCTCTCCCTCCCTCCCCCCCCTCCTCCCTCTCCTCTCCCTTCTCCCTCTCCTCTCCTCTCCTCTCCCCCCTCTCTCCTTTCCCCCCTCTCCTCTCTCTTCCTTTCCTCTCTCCCCTCCCCCTCTTCTCCTCTCCTCCTCCCTTTCCCCTCTCTCTTCCCTCCCCCTCCCTCTCATCCCTCCCTCTTTTTCCCCCTCCCTCTCTCCTCTCTCCTCTCTCTCTCCCCCTCTCTCTCCCCCCCCTTTTTCCCTTTTCTCTTCTCCCTCTCCTCCCCTCCCTCTCTCTCCCCCCCCCCCCTCCCTCTCTCTCTCCCTTTTCTCCCCCTCTCCCCCCCCCCCTCCCCCTTCTTTCCTCCCCCCCCTTTTTTTTTTCTCTCCTCCTTCCCCTCTTCTCCTCTTCCCCCCTTCCCCCCTCTCTTTTCCCCCCCCTTTTTTTTTTTGGGAAAATTTTTTTTCCCCCTTTTTTTTTTTTTTTTTTTTTTTTTTTTTTTTTTTTGTTTTTAAAAAAAAAGGGGTTTTTTTTTTTTTTTTTTTTTTTTTTTTTATTTTTTTTTTTTAAAAAAAATTTTTTTTTTTTCCTCTCCCTCCTCCCTCCTCCTCTCCTCCCCCCTCCTCCTTTTTCCCCCTTCCTCCCCTCCCTCTCTCTCCCCTCCTCTCCCTCTCCTCTTTCCCCCTCCTCCCCCCCCCTCTCATCCTCTCTCTCCTTCTCCCTCTCTCCCCCCCTCCTCCTCCTCCTCTCCCCCCCCCCTCACCTCCCCCTCTCCCCCTTCCCCTCTCTCCTCTCTTTTTCCCTTCTCCTCCCCTTCCCTCTCTCTCCCCCTCTCTCCCCTTCCCCCCTCCCCCTCCCCTCTTCTCCTCTCCCTCTCTCTCCCTCCCCCTCTCCTCTCCCCCCCCCTCTCTTTCCTCTCCCCCTCTCCCCCCTCTCTCTCTCTCTCTCCCTCCCCTCTCTCCTCCCCCCCTCTCCCCTCCTCTCACTCCCCCCTCCTCTCTCCTCTCTCTCTCTCTCCTCCCCTTCTCCCTCTCCCCCCCCTCCTCTCCTCTCTCCCTCCTCTCTCCCCCCCCCCCTCCCCTCCTCCCCCCCTCCTCTCCCCTCCCCCCTCTCCCCCTCTCTCTCCCTCTCTCCTCACCCCCCTCCCCTCTCCTCTCTCTCTCCCCTCTCTCCTCCTCTCTTCTCTCTCTCTTTTCCTCCCCTCTCTCCTTCCCCTTTCTTTCTCCCCCTCTCTCTCCCCCCTCCTCTCTCTCCCTCTCATCTCTCCTCCTCCTCTTCCTTCCTCCCCTTCCCCTTTCTCCCCTCTCTCTCTCCTCTCTCTCCCCCCCCTTTCCCCTCCTCCTCCTCTCCTCCTCTCTCTCTCTCTCCCTCTCTCCCCCCTCCTCTCTTTCCCCCTCTCTCTCCCCTTCCTCTCTCTTCCCTCTCCCCCCCTTTCCTCCTCTCTTCTCTACTCTCCCCTCCCTCCCCCTCCCCCACTTCTCCTCCTCTCCTCTTCTCTCTCTCTCCCCTTCCTCTCCCCCCCCTCTCCTCTCCTCCCCCCCTCCCTCTCCTCCTCTCCCTTCTCTTCTCTCTCCTCTCTCTCCCTCTCCTCTCTCCCCCCCCTCCCTCCCCCTCCCCCTCCTCTTTCTCCCCTCCCCTCTTCTCCCCTCTCTCCCCCCCCTCTCTCTCCCCTTCCTCTCCTCACCCCCTCCCCTCTCCCTTTTCCCCTCTCTCCTCTCTCCTCTCCCCCCTCTCTTCTCCCTCTCTCCTCTCTCCCTCTCTCTCCCTTCTCCTTCCCCTCCCTCTCTCTCCCTCTCCTCCCTCCCCCTCCCCTTATCTCTCCCTCCCCTCTCTCCCTCCTCTCCTCTCCTCCCCCCCTCTCTCCCCTCTCCCTCTCCCCTCTCCCTCTCTCCCTCCCCCCCTCTCTCCTCCCTCTCTCCCCCCTCTCTCCTCTCCCTTCTTTCCCCCTCTCTCTCCCCTCTCCTCTCTCTCCCCCCCTCTCTCCTCTCTCCCTCCTCCCTCCTCCTCTCCCTCTCCCCTCTCCTTTTCTCCCCTCTCCCCCCCCCCTCTCTCTCTCTCTCTTCTCCTCCTCTCTCCCCCCTCCCTCCCTCTCCCTCTCCTCCCCTCTCTCTCTCTCCCTCCCCCTTTCTCCTCCCCCTCTCCCTCTTCTCTCTCCTCTCCTCCCCCCCTCCCCTCCCCTTCTTTCCCTCTCCCTCCCCTCTCCCCCTTTTCCCCCTCCTCTTCTCCCCCCTCCCCTCTCCCCCTCCCTTTCCCTCTCTCTCCCTCTCTTCCCCCCCTCTCTCTCCTCCCCCTCCTCCTCCTCTCTCCCTTTCCCCCCCCTCTCTCTCCCTCTCCTCTTTTTCCTCTCCCCCCTTCCTCCTCTCTCCCTCTCTCTCCTCTCTTCCTCCTCTCCTCTCTCCCCTTCCCCTCTCCTCTCTCTCTCCCCCCCCTCCTCTTCTCCTCCTCTCCTCCCCCTCTCCCCCTCTCTCTCCCCTCCTCTCCCCCTCCTCACCCCCCTCCTCCCTCTTCTCCTCTCTCCCTCTCTCTCCCCCCCTCCTCTCCCCCTCCCTCCTCTCCTCCCCCCCTCTCTCTCTCCCCTTTTCCCTCCTCTCTCTCTCTCTCTCTCCCTCCCTCTCTCCCCTCTCCACTCCCTCTCTCCTCTCTCCTCTCCCTCCTCTATCCCCCTCCTCCTCTCTCCCTCTCTTCTCTCTCTCTCTCTCCTCTCTCCCTCCCTCTCTCTCCCCTCCCCCCTCTCTCCCCCTTCTTCCTCTCTCCCCCCTCTCTCTCTCTCTCTCTCATTCCTCCTCTTCTCTCCTCCCCTTTTCCTCTCTCTCCCCTCTCTCTCTCTCTCTCCTTTTCTTTCCCCTCTCTCCTCCTCCTCCCCCCTTTTCCCCTCTTCCCTCTCTCCTCCCCCCTTTCCCCTCTCTCTTCTCTCTCTCCCCTCCTCTCTCCTCTCTCTCCTTTTTCTCTCCTCCCCCCCTTCCTTGCCCCCTTTTTTTTCCTCTTTCCTTTTCCCTCCCCCCCTTCTTTTTTTTTCTTTCCTCAAAAATTCTCTTTTTTCTTTCCCCTTTTCCTTTTATAAATTTTTTTCTTTTTTTTTTTTTTTTTGTATTTTTTTTTTTTACATTTTTCCTTTTCCCTTTTCTTTTAATTTTTTTTTCCCCCCCGTTCCCTTTTTTTTGTTTTTTTTTTTTCCCTTGGTTTTATTTTTTTTTTTTAAAACCCTTTTTTTCCCTTTCTTTTCCCTTTTAAAAATTCCCTATTTTCCCCCCCTTACCTCTTTTTTTTTTTTTTTTTTTTTTTTGTTTTTAGGCCTTTTTTTCCCCCCCCTTTTTTTTTTTAAAATTTTTACGGGTTTTTGTTTCCCCTTATTTTTTTCCTCTTCTTTTCCCTACTTTTTTTTTCCTACTTCCTCGTTTCCCCCCTTTCTTTTATTCTTTGTTTTTTTCTCTTTCCCCCCTTTGAAAATTTTTTTTTTTTTAAATTTTTCCCTTTTTTAAATTTTAGGGTTCTTTTTGGGGCCTTTTAGTTATTTTTCCCTCCCTTTTTTTTTTTCCCCTGTTTTTCCCCTTTCTTTTGTTTTTTTAAATCTGGGCCTTTAAAATTTTCCCCGTTTTTTTTTTTTTTTTTTTTTTTTTTTTTTTTTTTTTTTTTTTTTTTTTTTATCCCCCCCCCTTTTTTTATCCCCTTTTTTTTTTTTCCCCCTTCAAAATTGGGGGGCCTTTTTTCCCCAAAATTTTTTTTAAAAATTTTTCTCCCCCTTCCCTCCCGGGGGGTTTTATTAAGTTTTAAAAATTTTTTTTTCCCCTTTTTTCCTTTTTCCCCCTCCCCTCCCCCCCTTCTTAAAACCTTTTCCCTTTCTTTCCTTTTTTTTTTTTTTGCTTTAATTTTTTCTTTTTTACTTTTTTTTTTTTTTTTTTTCCCCCTTTTTTTTTTGGGTTTTTTATTTTTTTTTCCTTTTTTTTTCCCTTCTTTTTCCTCCCTTTAAATTTTTTTCCCCCCTTTTTTTCCCAAAGGGAAAAAAAAAAATTTTCTTCCTTTCTCCCCCCTCCCCCTTCTTTCCTCTCCCCCCCCTTTTTGTAAACCCCCCTTTTTTTTTGTTGGTTTAAAATTTTTTAAATTATTTTTTTTTCCGTTTAAATTTCAATTTTCCTTAAACCTAATCCTTTTTTTTTTAGTCCCCTCCCCTTTCCCCCCCCCTTCCCAAAAAAACTTTTTTCCCCCCTTTTTTAAACCCTTTAAATTTTTTTCCCCTTAAATTTTTTCTTCCCTTTCCCCCAATTTGGGCCCCCTTTCCTTTAGCTAAGAAATATTTATGTGAGGATATATTATTTGTTTTGGCAGTCATTATTAATATCATTAAAAACTTACTTCAGTTATTAGATGCAATAAAATTGTAAAGTCTTTTTATATGCAATATAATAGTTAAGATAATTCATTGGTAATAATCATGAATTATTATTCATTAAAGTTGATAATTATAAAAATTATATTAAAATAAAATTATATTTAAAAGAAAACATTACATGTTATGTTTGAAATTATTGTACAGTACTGTACTTTTTTTAAGTCTTCAGAGCTTTATGAAAATGATCTGCTGTATCTTCTTTTCATTGTTAAAAACTTTTTTTGGACTCTCGGTTCATCAGGACAGTAATATGTAGCTAATGTGAAAATATTTTTGAGGTTCTTCAAAATGTTGACTCTGTGTTTACAGCTAAGTGGCAGTACGAGCTGATGCTCGGGACAAAGGGAGTCATGCAGGTTGGTTGGGCAACGATGGGCTGCCAGTTCTCTCAAGAAAAAGGAGTAGGTGAGTTTTATGTCTTGGAGCATAGCATGATGTTAAAATATACAAGTATGTGTTACATTTTCATCCATTTCAGCATCTGGGAATCTTAGATAAAATATCTCAGAATGTTCACTCGGTCGTAATTTTACAGGCTGTAGACTCATTAAGTTATTGATTATTGATGGTGTACTTTTATGAACAGCATTCATCTTTATATTTTTCCATTGTAAATTCACAATCATGAGATAATTTTTATAAATTATTTTTATAATTAAAAATTATACGCTGTACTGAAGTTGCAATTTAATATGTAATGAATCTAACTAGCTTTAATTATGGTAGAAATTTATGAAGCTTTCCTGTATGTATGTTGTATTATTTAACAAAACTTAAATTTATTCATGATTATTAGAATCCATGTTTTTCCTTAACCATTAAACTGTCCAAACGTAGATCTACATTCACTCGTGTAGTGCTCCGAACGTAGATCTACTTTTTTTGTTTTTTTCTTAATTTTAACCCTTAAACGGTCCAAACAGATCGACGTTCAAATTCGTAGTGCTACAAAAGTAGATCTACTTTTTTTACATATTTTCAAATATAAAAAAAAAAATGTTGATAAAAGAGCGCTATGCAAGTAAACATAGATCTCCGTTTGGACAGTTTAAGAGTTCAGTTTTTTTTTTTTTTTTTTTTTTTTTTTTTTTTAAACAAGTCAACCATCTCCCATCGAGACAGGGTGACCCAAAAAAGAAAGAAAATCCCCAAAAAGAAAATACTTTCACCTCACTCACACATAATCACTGCTTTTGCAGAGGTGCTCAGAACACAACAGTTTAGAAGCATATACCTATAAAGATACACAACATATCCCTCCAAACTGCTAATATCCTGAACTCCTTCTTTAGAGTTCAGGCATTGTACTTCCCATTTCCAGGACTCAAGTCCGGCTATATAAAAATAACCGGTTTCCCTGAATCCTTTCACTAAATATTACCCTGCTCACACTCCAACAGATCGTCAGGTCCCAAATACCATTCGTCTCCATTCACTCCTATCTAACACGCACACGCACGCTTGCTGGAAGTCCAAGCCCCTCGCCCACAAAACCTCCTTTACCCCCTCCCTCCAACCTTTTAGAGGATGACCCCTACCCCGCCTTCCTTCCCCTAGAGATTTATACGCTCTCCATGTCATTCTACTTTGATCCATTCTCTCTAAATGACCAAACCACCTCAACAACCCCTCTTCAGCCTTCTGACTAATACTTTTATTAATTCCACACCTTCTCCTAATTTCCACACTCCGAATTTTCTGCATAATATTTACACCACACATTGCCCTTAGACAGGACATCTCCACTGCCTCCAGCCGCCTCCTCGCTGCTGCATTCACAACCCAAGCTTCACACCCATATAAGAGTGTTGGTACTACTATACTTTCATACACTCCCTTCTTTGCCTCCATAGATAACGTTTTTTGTCTCCACATATACCTCAACACACCACTCACCTTTTTTCCCTCATCAATTCTATGATTAACCTCATCCTTCATAAATCCATCCGCTGACACGTCAACTCCCAAGTATCTGAAAACATTCACTTCTTCCATACTCCTCCTCCCCAATTTGATATCCAATTTTTCTTTATCTAAATCATTTGATACCCTCATCAGCTTACTCTTTTCTATGTTCACTTTCAACTTTCTACCTTTACACACACTCCCAAACTCATCCACTAACCTTTGCAATTTTTCTTTAGAATCTCCCATGAGCACAGTATCATCAGCAAAAAGCAACTGTGTCAATTCCCATTTTGTATTTGATTCCCCATAATTTAATCCCACCCCTCTCCCGAATACCCTGGCATTTACTTCTTTTACAACCCCATCTATAAATATATTAAACAACCATGGTGACATTACACATCCCTGTCTAAGACCTACTTTTACTGGGAAGTAGTCCCCCTCTCTTCTACACACCCTTACCTGAGCCTCACTCTCCTCATAAAAACTCTTTACAGCATTTAGTAACTTAGCATCTATTCTATATACTTGCAACATCTGCCACATTGCTCCCCTATCCACTCTGTCATATCATATTATAAGCCAACTGTAAGTGTAAAATAGTAGTGATGAAAATGTGTGTGCAATTTTTTTTTTTTTAATACATCGGCCGTTTCCCACCGAGGCAGGGTGACCTAAAAAGAAAGAAAAGCCCAAAAAGAAAGAAAAAATACTTTCATTATCGTTCAATACTTTCACCATCACTCATACATAATCATAGCTGGGCAGGGGTGCCCAGCTATGACAGTTCAGATGTCCTCCAAACTGCTAATATCACAAACCTCTCCTTTAAAGTACAAGCATTGTACTTCCCATTTCCAGGACTCAAGTCTGGCTAACCGGTTTCCCTGAATCCCTTCAAAAAGTATTACCCTGGTCACACTCCAACAGCTCCTCAGGTCCCAAAAACCATTCATTTCCTTTCACTCCTATCTAACACTCTCATGCTCGTTTGCTGGAAGTTCAAGCCCCTCTCCCACAAAACCTCCTTTACCCTCTCCCTCCAACCTTTTCTAGGATGACTCCTACCCCGCCTTCCTTCCCCTGCAGATTTATAAACTCTCCAAGTCATTCTATTTTGTTCCATTCTTACTAAATAACCAAACCACCTCAACAACTCCTTTGATATACCCTTGAAGAGTTTCAAGAGTTTATCTACTCTCCGAGCCCAGCCATGGGCTAGGCTTGTCTGGTGCTTGCCTGGTCAACCAGGCTGTTGCTGCTGGAGGCCCGCTGCCCCACATATCCATCACAGCCTGGTTGATCTGGCACCTGGTGAAGATACTTGTCTAGTTTCCTCTTGAAGGCTTCCACACTTGTTTCAGCAGTGTTTCTGATATCCTTGGTAAGATGTTGAAAAGTTTGGGACCCCAGATGTTGATACAGTGTTCCCTTATTGTCCCTACAGCACCCCTGCTCTTCACTGGGTTTATTTTACACTTCCTCCCATATCTCTCACTCCAGTATGTTGTTATGGCAGTGTGCAGATTTGGAACCAAGCCCTCGAGTACCTTCCAGGTATATATTATCATGTACCTCTCTCTCTCTTCAGCCCTCTCACTAATACTTTTAGTAACTCCACACCTCCTCCTAATTTCCACACTCCGAATTCTCTGCATAATACACCACACATTGCCCTCAGACACAACATCTCCACTGCCTCCAACTGCCTCCTCGCCGCAGCATTTACAACCCAAGCATCACACCCATATGAGAGTGTTGGTACCACTATACTTTCGTACATTCCCTTCTTTGCCTCCATGGATAACGTTTTTTATCCCCTCAGATAGCTCAACACACTACTCACCTTTTTTCCTTCATCACTTCTATGGTTAACCCATCCACTGACAAGTCAGCTCCCAAATATCTGAAAACTTTCACTTCTTCCATACTCCCACTCTCCAATGTGATATCCAGTTTTTCTTTATCTAAATCATTTGATTTATCTATGTTCACTTTCAACTTTCTGCCTTTACACACCCTCCAAAACTCATCCACTAACCTTTGCAACTTTTCTTTGGAATCTCCCAAAAGCACAGTATCATCAGCAAAAAGTAACTGTGTCAACTCCCATTTTGTATTTGATTCCCCATAATTTAATCCCACCCCTCTCCCCAACACTCTAGCATTTACTTCTTTTACAACCCCATCTATAAGTATATTAAACAACCATGGTGACATTACACATCCCTGTCTAAGACCTGCTTTTACTGGGAAGTAATCTCCCTCTCTCCTACATACCCTAGCCTGAGCCTCACTATCCTCATAAAAATTCTTGACAGCATTTAGTAGCTTACTACCCATTCCATACACTTGCAACATCTGCCACATTGCTACCCTATCCACTCTATCATATGCCTTTTCTAAATTCATAACTTTCCCACCTTTGTCTAAATACTGTTCACATATATGCTTCAATGTAAACACTTGATCTACACATCCCCTACCCACTCTAAAGCCACGCTGATCTGCAATCCCACTCTCTGTCTTACCTCTAATTCTTTCAATAATAACCCTATTGTACGCTTTACCTGGTATACTCAGTAAACTTCTTCTTTCTACAAACCGGCTGTATCCCACATAAGCAGGGTGGCCCAAAAAGAAAAACAAAAGTACCTCTTTTTAACTTTAGTAATGTATACAGGAGAAAGGGTTATTAGTCCCTTGCTCCCAGCATTTTAGTCGACTCTTATGACACGCATGGCTTACGGACAAAGAATTCTGTTCTACTTCCCCAAGGAGATAAGTGGAAATAAACCAGAACAAGAACTCTTCGAACTCTTCGAAAATCAACCACTTTTTTCGAACCAGCTTTGTCCCTATTATTGAACCCGCCCCTATTTTTGAACTGCTGGGTACTGGACCTGTCCGCCAACCTGCTCTGTCCGTGTCCCCGCACAGGCGCCTTGAGCCAGTCTGGCTTTGTTGATGCTTGAGTGAACACTAACCTACGCTCTCAATCAAACATTTTACGATTATTTCATTGTGTTTAGTGCTTGTGGGACTGTGAAATAAGCTACCATGGTCCCAAAGAAACTAGGTAGTAGGTTGGTAAACAGCAACCATGCAGGGAGGTACTACCGTCCTGCCAAATGAGTATATAATGAAAGCCTGTAATTGTTTTACATGATGGTAGGATTGCTGGTGTCCTTTTTTCTGTCTCATAAACATGCAAGATTTCAGGTACATCTTGCTATTTCTACTTACACTTAGGTCACACTACACATATGTGTACAAGCATATATGTACATACCCCTCAGGGGTTTCTTCTATTTTCTTTGTAGTTCTTGTTCTTGTTTATTTCTTCTTGTCTCCATGGGAAAGTGGAACAGAATTCTTCCTCCATAAGACGTGTGTCATAAGAGGCGACTAAAATGCCGAGAGCAAGGGGTTAGTAACCCCTTCTCCTGTATATATTACTAAATTTAAAAGGAGAAACTTTAGTTTTTCCTTTTGGG